CACGTTAGCATTGCAAGCCTATGCTACTGGCAGTCCATGTATATATAGTCAAAGTCAAAGGTATCAACTGCTGTGTACAATAACTTATTGTTAGACTCAAAGCCTGAACTCGACATGTGAAGCGAATTGATTATTCATTATTCAAGAAATTGTAAACCGAATTTCTTGTATTTTCGGGCAGATAACAAGGTGACAAAGGATGAACTGCGAAATTAGTTTCACAGACATGTGCCGCGCTTGCATGAAAGTTGATGGGAATTTACTTTCGATGTATGATGACGAAAATGACGCTATTAGGCAAAAGAATTTTCCAAACAAATTATCGGACCTCACTTCGATCCAGGTTAGAAAATAAGCATATTTTAGGGTACTTTCTTCTAATTATGATAAAACTTTTAAGAGGATTAATCTTCGTGAGCAAATGTACATTTTTTTTACCTAACCTATAAGTGGTATTGTATAATTTGAATGAATTACTGTTAGTTTTTAATATATGAAATGAAAATGTACAGAACGTTACGATTGCAATAGCATAGTTTTATTAATGTTNTATAGATAAAAAGTCTTATAATAATATTTATTTAGCCATCTTTGCTCTATTGGGCTTAAGAATGTGTACATTCTTCTTTCCTTGCGATTAAGCTTACAAACTATTAGCTGTTTATATATACTTTAGTATCTGTTCTTACTATTTCATTGCCCTATTGTAGTTGTTCCTTAGCCTTCGCTGTTCTTAGAAATAGCTTAATCAGCCCTGTAAAAATCGATCCATACTTGATGCTATTAGAGCTATGACTTCTTATTGCCATATCCATTTTGACATCTTAAATTCCTGGCAACTGAAAATATGTTCTAAATATTCCAGCTCCTCACAATCTACGTTATTTTCACATCTCTTGTTATCAACCTTCTGTTATAAGTATTATCGCACTTCATTCTTGTCTTGCTCTCTTTTCATTCTCTATAATCTAGTGGACCTAAGACTTTTCATCGATCTGCGCCAAATTTTGCATTCGTTCATATATTATTGTATACTGTGTTTTCTCAAATTATTTAAAATTCGCATAAATACATAAAAATCAAAGTCTAATGATAACATTCGTTGTTAATACTGCGCATTGAATGTACTCGTGTCGCAAATCGGTATTTATATTCATTAATTTTGATGAATCCTTCAAACAGATTGATAGATTCGACGGATTACCAACTATGCTTTGCGCCAAGTGTGCTTATCGGACTGATGCGTTTTACGATTTCAAATTACAAGTGCAAGCTACTGAAAAGAAATTGAGAAGGATGTTTGACATGCAGATTCGTTACTCAGAAAAGGTAAATAATAATTGGATTTATTACCGTAGAACACTTATATTATTAGATTTAATGACGTGTATTTTGAATTTAAATCATGTTTATGTTTAACAGAACTTCATAGTTAGACATAGTGAATCTAGATAAAATTTATTAGAGGATCTATATTAATATAGGAAGATCAATCTTTAACTAAACCTAAAGTTAATTCCATTTATTATACATAATGAATACAAATTGTACATATTAGGTTGTCCAGTAAGTTCTACTCGATTTTTATAGAAATTTTAAAGGTAGCGCATTTAAATTTTGATGTATTGAATTATACACATGCTGTTTTGTTCGACAGACATTCTTAATTTTTCTTGGACCAACTTTAATACTATATCCGTAAAAATTATGCAACGTATGCGTATACGCCAGCTTAAGGTACATCGCAGGGCACTTTAGTCTTTATTTTATTCAGAACAATTACTTTTTGGAATAAGCGTTAGAGTTTGAATTCCCGCCGACGATTTGCGACGCGTCTAATACGTTTCCAACGAGCCGGGCGACAATTGAAGTTCATATCAAAGCAACAAAATAAATAACTAGTATATCTGTGACCGTGTTCCTTATACGTTAACAGTTCCGTTCTTTAATAAAGGTCGTTGTAGTTAATAAATGCGGTGTCCATCCATTCATTCAAATATCAATAAGATTGGTTGAAATCAGAAACGTAGTAACTATAATTTTTACTTCACTTGGGAGCACTTATTTTATTAAATATCAGCATAATTACACTGAATAATGGCTTTTTTCTAAAAATGCCTAAAATATAATCTTTTAGACTACATATATACACACGTAATTTATTTTCAATCAACTGATACATTCGAATCTGTCCTAATGTTGCCTACCAAAATTTAGCACTAACTATCCGGACTCCCCAATACATAATCAAAACAAGGTATAAAGAAACATGCATACACATACACAATTTGCAGAAACGTGAATAGTCACTATGAGAATAGTTTGAAATCGGTTAGAAAACTTGTATTGCGACTAGTTTTACAAAAAATGGAATAATTCCCATCAAAATAGCGTGCAATCGATTGAATAACACGTATTCCACCGAATTGTAAAGAAAATTTCGCCAGGGAAAAAGGAATTTGTCAAAATTTTGCAAAGACTTGAGTGATTCTTCCAGTACAGCTTGGAAACTTTTAAAAAATAGGAATCAAGGCCTCTAATGAAGAAATAAAAAGTAATTAAAATGTAATTTAATTGAGTATCCAGTTCTTAAGCCAAAAATGTCAGTAACATTTTTTGAATTGTTTATTTAGTTTTTTATCTATGGTTATTGTAGTGGACAAAGATTAAGGCCAAAAGGAGGAATGAAAGAAATTATATATTTCGTATAGAAGATATAAGTGGTTTCAAACATTCTTTCGAAGGGTATTTCCATCAGAAAAAACACAATTTATCTTTGATTCGTCCGAAAATAATACTTTTTGCTAATCTTGGCTTTGCCAATGTATATGAGTATTAACAGACGCAAAAATACGGAGAACTCGAACGCCAGTATTATTATATTAAAATGTCAGGCGAATATATTAAATGTTAGTCGTTAGACACATTAAACTAACGTGCTAGCTTCGTCCACTGTTCATAAGAGTCAGGAAAATAGAAATACTGGTAAAATTGTGTCTGTTCATATTTGGTAGTTGTAGGTTTGAGATTAAGAAAAGTTAACTTATAATCCGTAAACAGCTACTTACATATGAGCGTATAACCGAAATTGAAATTCGTCGTGTTAGATTTATGATCGCTTCTATGAATGCTTTGAAGAAAACCGATTTCCACGTCTTAATTTGGAAGTGCATATTTCTTTATACTTCGTTTTAAGAATGTAAACAATATTGAGGATCGATTTCTTTCTGTGAGCAAATATAAAAAATCTGATGGTAATCAAGGATTTAAAACATGAGTCATAGATGTATTACTATTTTCGTGTTTTGTCCCCGTACGGAAGACTACACGCCGAGAGAAATAGCACACCCATGCTATTTTTAATTTCTCATGTTAGGATGGAATCGTGACTCAAAAATTGAAAGTAGTTTGAGTCTTATGTTGAGTCTGCGTGTAGGATAATACTGCTCGCCTTTCTCTACTTTTTTCTTTCCGTATGCACTTGCATACTTCATGTATATGTATAACTTTTCGATTGCGACGAACTTTTTTTGCAATTTTAGTAATAGACAACTTTTGTTTCCTCAGAGATAAAACTGTCCTAATTTCCCTTTGACTAATCTGTCTGCCATGATTTATTATGAGGATAGCGATGTGGCAAAGCTTTAGACACAAATTGAATGCGATAACTCCGTTCAGGCTGAAGACACACTGAGGAATATGTAAACATAGTACAAGTTTGCTATTATTTTATCTGCTTCAAATTACGTATTTCTCTTTTCACTAAGAGACCTCCTTTAAACGAAGTCAATCTGTTACATTTACGTATTCGTAGAAGGTACATTTTATACCTACGAAATTCTACGTATAGTCCTAACACGAGAAATGAAAGATAGCACAAGTATGCTATTGGGTTGTTCGGAAAATAATTTCGTTTTTTCCAAACAAAGGACTTAATTGTATTTTTTCACAGCCAACGTCACCCTTAGCAACTTAGCAAGGTTTGTTTGTGAAAAAGTATCTTTGATTCTGCGCAATAGTTTTTGTTTTTCCCTATCAAGTATGGAAAGTTGAAAGCAGCATTTTCGGGATATTTTACTTTTCCACTATCGAAAATAAGAAAAATAACAAAAAATAAAAATGTTGTTTAAGCAAAAAAAGAGTATTCAACGTGTATGGAAGTGTATTGACAACGCCAATGCCAAAACTAGTTTGCAAAATTTCGTTCGCAAATCATTCATGATCACGTGAAATGCCTTGGTTTAATTTCACAACTCGACATATGGGAGAGGAACCCATTAAAAGCTTTTACAGCTTGGATGGGATGTACTATTACACCCACCATATTCTCCAGATCTGACACCATAGGATTATCACTTGTTCCGATTTCTACAAAATTTTTGAGACGGCAAATGAGGACGTCAAAATGACTTAAATCAGTTTTTTGCCAGCAAAGATCAGAAGTTTTATGAGCGTTGAATCAAGCCACTGCCAGAAAGATGGCAAAAGGTATTGGACCGAAATGAAGAATACATAATTTAATAAAATATTTATACACTATAAGAAAATCGTCTTTCATTTTCACAAAAAAAACTACGTATTTACTTTCCGAGCAACCTAAATATTTTTTATCTGGGAGTGGAGCACAATCAAAAATGGGTCGTAAATCATCGTCCCAAAATGTACCTTTTTGATTGACTGGATTAAAAATTTAATTCGATTACAATAATAATTCATCTTTATCATTGTCAACTTGTTTACCATGCACACGTCGTACGTTCAAATCACATGTTCACCCTTAAATTTTCTTATCCTTTCAAGATACATTGCAAAATGTATTATTTTTAACTTTTAAGGAAATTATAATGATCAATCTGAAACTGCTATTAAAAACTTTTTCAACACAACGTGTTTTTAATTCATCTTTATTACTTTCAGTTTGAAAATCTTTGAAAGTTGAACGTAAGTCGTAAAATTTTGATTGATGTATTCTTTCAGGACGAAAATTCTGAAGAGATCTACTCGGACCTGAAGTATAATTTAGAACCTAAACAGGAGTTAATAATTAAAGAAGAAAATGAACAAACTGTTCAACTGTCAGAAATTCAATTGACGAATGAAAATATTGTCTTAAATAAAATGGATGTGTCAGAATTGCGAGGCTTCATTGTTTCGAAATTGTCTAAAGATGAAATCGATCAATGTAAACGTTTGAGAAGCGACATTACGGATGAGTTCCCGAAAGTATTTGAATATCAACAATCGGACTATACTATCATGTACATACCGGAGAATATCTCATTAGAAAATGATGAGAGTTCATATTCTTGTGATACGGAAATGAAAATCGAAGAGAAAAAATTTAATTTTTCTGGAGTCTCAGGCGAAATTTTGGAAAAAACAGAATTTTTAAACGATCTGAAACTGGATGAAATGGAGGTAGAAGAATTGCCAGGTAACTTTGATCTTGAGTTAGGTGGAAACTCGAAAATGATCAGAAGTAAAAGGAAGGAAGATGACATGGAACCAATGGAAACTAAAATCAACCTCCAAAGAGCTTTCAAAACTAGGAAAAGGGGTAAAAGAAATGAAGTTAAGACTACAGAAAGTAGTTCGAGCCTCGAGGAGGCTAAAACACCTGAAATCACTTGTTTCAATCATGAATATGCGCCGAAATCCAATAGTTCGGAAGAAGAAGTAAAGAAAGATGAAACTTGTCAAGATACCGAAGATTCGGACTCGGACTATTTCGTGGATCCCAAAGATAATATCTTAGGCAGCTTAAATGATGCAATAACTCGAATAAAAGAGATCAAACTCGGTGACAATACATTGAATTATCAATGTACTCTATGTTTACAGAATTACGAAAAGCTAACTGAAGTTTTGTTACACACTATAGACAATCATGTGCCTAGTAGCGGTCCATTCTTTTGCGTCGTCTGCGAGAAAGATTGCGAGAGTCATAAGGAGCTCAGGTCTCACGTGAAAATTCATACAGGTCGCTTCCCGTATTCTTGTTTCATTTGTAATAAAGCTTATAGTATGAAGAGATACCTGAAGAGGCATATGATGTGCCATGCAGACTTTCCTAGGCACCGTTGCCCTAAATGTGGACTCAGATTCAACGCGAAAACCGAATTGACTGAGCATATCGGGACGCATGTTCAGGGAGCTCCTTTCGCTTGTAGTCAGTGTCCAAGATCATTCAATCACAAGGGGAATTATAAGAGGCATTTGATTAGCCACTTGGATCCACAAGGACTGCATCTACCAAAGTATCCTTGTCAGGTATGTTTCCTATGATAATTGAATCGAGTAAAAATGGAGCTTAAAATAAATGTAAAATTCTAATTCAATTGAAATTGAAAAGCTCACCTTGAAATTAATTATGAAAATCACCTGAAGGGCTCAGAAGACAATCAATATAAATCCATTATCGTTAAAATTGAAATACACTACTCGAAAAAATTATGTTAAATTCTATTTAATTTCATATTAAAATGCTAATTATAAATCCTTAATTTGATACAACATTTTTGTTCTTGAACTGCAGATGACAAACCGAGTTTTCGTTTCCCATTTATGGAAACGACATCAGTGAAAAAAATTATCCAATCTCGAGCACGTTGTCAGACTTCCTTGATTTTAAACATGCCCTTAGATTTAAGCATTGTCTGTCGTAGGAGTGTATCGAATTAAAAATCTCGAGATAGAATTGTAAAGTAAAGGTTTCAAGCTCTAATTTAAAAGATAAATCATGATGCTAAATAATCATTTTCAAAACTTGAGCAATTTTCGACACTTTCGTGACGCCATAATTTTGTCGAGTATAAATGCTGCTGTCTATTATTTATTTGTAAAGGCATCAAGTATCAAAAGTTACTATGCTGAACACGTTTATACACGGCAGAATTTATGTTCACTGAAAGGCTGACTTACTGATTGGCTTCTGAGCCCCTCATATGTTTATCTCAAATGTAAATTAAAATTTTAATTAAATCAGAATTGAAAATTGATCTATTTGTCAGGTTTGTGGAAAACGGTTTCTGAACAATCGAACTTTAGAAACGCACATGCGAGTGCATACAGGTGAGAAGCCGTTCAGGTGCGAAGTCTGCGGCCGATCATTCTCGCAGCAAGGAAATCTATTAAATCATACGAGAAATCATTCGAATCCAAGAAGCTATACCTGCGAAGTCTGTGGGAAGCGGTTCAACCAAAAAGCAACGTTGAGAGACCACAGTTTGCTCCATACAGGAGAGAAACCATACGTTTGCAACGTTTGTGGTATCGCGTTTACCTTCAGCGCTGCATTAAGGAGGCATATGTGGACTCACACGGGAGGCAAGCCGTTTGGCTGTGAAATATGCAATGCGAGATTCGTTGGCAAATACGATTTACGGAGGCATATGAGGATACACGCCGACAAGCCCAAAGTTAAAAAGAAAAAATCTGTGTCCAGAGAAGAAGAGAATGTCGCGACTGAGGACACACAAACTGTTTTAATAGAGCAAGTGCTGTTGACTGAGGACGTTGTGCAAGTTGTAAATCAACAAGAATCTGAGAAGGAAAATGTGGACGCATTGTTTAATCTAATACAGTATAGCTAATTCTCTATTTGCATTAACGAGAAAGTGTGAATTTGTATATATTTCGTTATAATAATTGTAATTTAATCAAATCTCAATCCGAATCTGTCCATATTTAAATATGAATACATGGATAAGTAAAATATGTTATGCCACATCGAGATTAGCTGTCAGTACGACTTTATCATAGACTTCACTTGTTTATTATAATAAACTGTGGAATCTTGAAAATTGATCCTTCGTTATTATTCTTTATTTTACACTCATCTAGATATTCCAAATGTTACATAGTGTAATTAAATTAAACTTGTCGATATAATTGACAATGTGTTCGATTTTATCAGTCTAAATTAAAATGCCTGCTAATAGTATACACGGATTGTCTCCTTGCCGAATTCAACGTCGAATCATTTATAATATATANATGCATAATATGATGTTTAAAGGTTTAAAGAATATACTGAATATTATTCCTTAAATTCCAAGTTTTATTTTGCATAAAAGTCCGCAGTCTATAAATCATAGCCTGTAATAAATGCTTTGGTACTTGTTCTGTGTTTCTAACTGCTTGCTCAGTTACGTTAAACATAAAATACATAGTTATAGTTATACACATATACATACGCCTCCGACTGTAAGTGGCCAGACATTTAAAAAAATTTGCATGTGAACGATTTTTTATTACGAGAAGACACATTTTCGAATAAAAAGTAGTACGTATTAATTATTTATCTATAACGTAAATAACATTTAAATCAAATTTTATTGAAATGTCATGCTTATGTCTTCTTTAGTCTATATAGAATTACTCTTAAAATGTTTATAAACATTGTAATATTACTTTTCGTAATGTACCAGATGTTTTTTTTGATAGTTTTGAACGTTAAAAGGAAACAAGATGTTCTGAAATATACCGAATAGAAGCTTTATTAAATGAATGTTCATTTTTTAAACGTTTATTCAAATAATATATGTTTATTTCTAATTTTACATCCCAATATTATCGTGAAACAGCTAAATGTAACAAAATTGAACAATAAAATCGAGCTAGAGAATTATATTCATGTTTTAATATGTCCGGTGACTTATGTATGGGAGTGTATGTATTAGAGGTGGAGAACTATTTATTTATTTATTTATTTAAACCGTTTCTCCGTACTGGACAGGCCCAGTGACGGAAGGCTCATAAGTATCGATAGTTTTCGGAACTATCAATAGTTTCGTCATTTTGATAGAACGAGCAAATTTCAAGTTAGCAACAGTGGCAACGTCAATCCTGATTCTGCATTATTCTTTGTTCTGAACTTAAAACGTTTCTTCGACACATATTGGACGCTTTGGTTGGTCATTATTCTTTTAAATTCCGTATTTTTATGAATTATTTAAGCAAGTTAACATGCCAATTCGCTGGAATAGTATGCTGTACATGACTAGAAACTAGACTGTACTAGAAACTAAAAATAGTTTGAATCAGACATTATTAAATTTACAAAAGGCATCTGCACCACTAACGGTGGACATCATCATTTTAATATTAAATGACAATCATATGTCTAAACTATTTTGATAAAGCGTCACATATAATATGTGGTGCCAAGTTCCCCACTGTGCTATTAAAATCAATCAATTTAGAAGTAAAAAAAAGACATTATAGGTATTCGTAGTAGCTTGGAAAAATTATCGATATTGTATGAACGGTGATTTTATTTTTCCCTCCTTTTCGATAGTTTTCGATAGATTCGATAGATTCGATAGTAGAATATGAAAATATCGGAAATTATCGATGGTAGTGATTATCAATAGCTCTCCACCTCTAGTATGCAAGGTACACGTGAGTGCAAGTGATATTTTCTGTAGAGATTTGAAATCATTTTCATTGAATGTTGATGTCTCTAATCAGGACGAAATATATGATTATTGTGAGAAACATAAAAAGATATTTACTGCATGAAGTCCATCGTGCTATAATCACAAAAATATTAATTTAATTTGTTTTTAAACTGAAACTCATACCACTTGCACTGTCATGTACACGTATAACACAGTTCCTACTTTCTTTTCACTACAATTCTTGTTTCGCATGTCATTCTTAAAATAAAGACAAAACCAGTTATTTCTGCTGTGAGAATAAGTTTTTAAGAATTAAATTAAACGTTTGGTCGATGCGCCAGGTATCTCAGCAAGGCAATCCCTATTTTATTGTCGGGCTGTTTGTATTCGTTGTTGATTGTTATCGGTGGTATATCTGGAATTTCCTCTCTATCGTCGGCGACGATTCCTGCCATAATCTGGCTAGCTTGCTTACTTTTTCCATTATAAGTCCCCTCCTTAATATTCTGATATCTGCAAAAGTTAGTATAATGTCAAAATTGTGTTAAATAAGCGTATTTTTAAACTTCTACTATTCGTGGTCGTTTAATTTCGAATTGAAACATCGACGCTGCAAAGCAATTGTGTTGCAAAAGACTTATTTATTACATCTTTTCCTTCAACGATGGGAATTCTTCATATCTTTACTATGTGTCCATCTACAAAATAACTCACAACACTCTCGAAACAGATGCGGATTAAGCGGGCACGTGGGGTCCCGGAGGAGCTCGGAGATTTAAAGATTTTAGAAATTACCAAAGAGGGGTTCAAAACCGCTCCTTAAAATAATCAAACAAATCTGAAAACAAAATGTAAAATTTATGTCCTCTAAATTGTACTCTTTAACTGTTTATTTCAGTAAATGTTTAATAGTGACGCAAAGTAGATCAACATACTTTAATAA